TTACTAAATTGCTTGGACGAATATTTAATTAGCGTTATAAACATAATTATAATTAGTATAACAAAATATATGAAACCTAAAAATAAATAAATAACGAGCGCTCAAATAATGAATGAACAAATTTCAAATGCAGCTTTTTAGGTAGGTTGCAATAGTTTTGCTAAAATATTGTTTCTTGATTAGTTACAGTACAGCTGCAAGAAATTATAAAAACATATATTTTTACAACCCCTCTTCTAAATTTACAGCTCAATACAGCAATTCCAATAGTTCAATTGTACTGTGTGATATTCTTCACTCGATGGTTTTTACATACGTTGATAACGTTTCTCAAGCCGCTGTCCCCGACGAACTACTTGTGTGTAGCTTGCTATGTTATGGCAGTCTTGTAGCACAATACATAATAGTTGTCCTTGTCACCAGGCAATACATTATGTTTCTCCCATCTAATCCAATATCACGATGAGGCTTTGTCTGTCTAATAAGATGTTATGGAAACAGGTCACATGCTGTCTCTCAAACCATGTTACTGTTCTGACTCCCGATTACCATGACTACTGTATGATGACTCTTGTTAGTACTGACTGTACATGACCAGTTCATAATAAACTATTCTAAAGCTTCCATAAAAGCAACATGATTTGATTTTATTACTATATTTTGATGGAGAAGCAGTGAATGACACAGTCCTTTCAAACATTATGTAATATACTAAAATACATGCCATAAATTTCTAAAGTATACTAACAAGAAATAAGGTAAAATGAAACATATTTCTGGCTGAATGAGTTTATTGTGTTACCTTATACATATTGTCACGTAATATTCTAGTGTACAATTTTAATGTATAACAACAGTTACAATGTACCATAAAAACACATTATTGTTATTGTTATTACTGTCATCTGAAAAGATGATGCTTTCACATAATACGCATAATTAGAATCTACTATATGACCTGTGATGTAAAAACGGTGATGTATTCATTCAATATCTTATTATTGTTACTGGTAGTTTAACTGACAATTGACATGATTAGAAGATTGTCAATGCCCAACACGTGTTCTAGACAAATATTTTGCAAACAGCTGCATTATGTGCAAATAATAATCGCGATTACGTCACTGTTCATATAATGTGGATTGTGATGTGGGGTGGCCAGTATGAACAGGAGTTACTTGACAGAATTAGTGCTGTTTTGACTCATGTAATGCATTTGAAACAATTAACCATAACATTTTGTTTAATAAATTATCAATATAAATGACTAATATTAATTAATAAAATTTACTAATATTATTTCTAACAGACAAGAGACCAGCTTTGTCTATTCCACTATTTTTCACTACAGATAAGAATCGAATTTTGTTCTACTATTGATTAACATTTATATGAACGATTTGCCTCAGAAATAATGAAGACTAAATTGGACATCACTGTCAGTGCATCTGGAAAGGATGTGACAATAGTAAAACAATTAAATTTGGATCTGCCGAATGTTTTAAAATAATATAATGACTATAATAAACACAGATAAAAATAGGTATGCTAGTAACAACTTGTACAAATTATCACAAATATTTATCAGTTATTATTAGTTGATCGTCAATCTGAAAATATTCATACTAGGACAATTCTTGGCGTTGTGGTAGACGAAAATGAAGCACATGACAAAGTTCACAAAACTGTCAGTATCACCTTTCAATATAACAAGGCTCGTATTAAAGAAATTAGGTTTTTATTATTCCCACACTTAGAATATTGTAGTACAGTGTCCACGTAATGAGACTAGTCAAAGTTCAGAAAAGAACAGCTAGAACGTACTATGCTTCGTTTTGAAAACATTATAATGTTATAAATTATATAATTCTCTAAAATAACGTGTACTTGCTGGATAAAGATTATTATTAATATATAAATGCATATTACAATTAGAATAAAAACACAATTCACTATACAATTTTTATTCATCCAATTTTTTTTACAAAAGTGTAACCCGATTCAAATCATTATCGACCATAAAATTGTTGCACACATTTATTTAGGCACTATAGATATGCGAACAGTTAAAATAATATTAATGACGCAAATTACGCAAATCAGAACATTTGAACAAGCATTCAATGCACTAATACATCTCTCCAATAATCATTTTATACTCTCTGTAACTTTGCAATCAGAGTTTCATCAATAATTCCGCTTCCGTGCATACAATTATCGTTTTTATTTACATTCCTGTATATTCTAATATTGATTTCCATGGTTAACCTTTTCATCACCAGATATTCTCGCCCAAAGTATTCTGCACTTTTTTCTGATATTTTTTAATGTTTCTGAAAATGAACACTAATTTTGGAGCCAAAAGACATAATTTAAGTAAATTTTAAGGTTTTTACTCAAAAATGTGGCTATTTTTGTCCCAATCTTCTTAAGGAAAGTGCATACTATAAACGGGACTATTTTTAAATTTGCGATGACAAGAGGGAACTGGTTATGAAAAGGTTAATGTTACACTCCTAATGATGTACAATCATGTCGTGGCTATGCTCTATAATGTTATAATTAGTTACCCACCTCATATACAATTTACAAATTAAATATTAACAATTATCTGAAATGTTTGCAAAAGTAAATATTAAAAAATTATCAATACTTTTGATTCATCAATAAAGTTCTCAGTGATATTGTTAAAAGTTTTATCTTCAAAAAAGCATACATACACTGATGTTATTTATTTCAAATTCACTTTATAGTAGCACAACAGAATCAAATAAAATTAATATCAATTGATAATTGTTCTGGTAAAAAGCAGCTGAGCACTAACATAACATAATCTTTTCAAAGCATAATAAATGTTAAGAATTGGGAGAACGATTGATGATATTTAGTCACAGTTCTGAATACGCATTTTAGCAGTGTGTGTCTTTATTTATTAACATAAGTAAGTCCATCTGCTGTAAATATAGTTACGTTATTTGTTTTGTGCCATGTGTTATATAATTAATATACCGAAGTTGATGATAACCTTCCCTGACTGCAAATGCCCCGAGTAAAAGCTTTGGATAGTATTAAATGTATGTACAGTGTGCGTTCTGTAATCATCGAACATATTTTAACTTGCGTGTAGCTGAGACGAACACTTTAAGCATATGTTGAAATACATATTGATTATACTCGTCGGACGTAAATAGATTTTGTGATTACTTGGGTATGCATGTATATACAATCAGTTGCGTATTAGTAATTACGTCGATGTATAAGATCTGTATCAAAAATCTTTCATTTTGGAATAAAAATATTTTGGTTGACATTGTTTCTGTAGTATTAAACGATTTGAAAATATAAATCAGTAGATCAGGGATGATTGACATATATCTCTGAACTTTTCATCAGATTCAATATCGAGGTTTGATAAATCCCTTTAACTGGGGATTATAGATGAATTATGCTCGCCGGTAACCATTACCGTGATAGGCGTTATACAGCAATGTATATTCTAGATATGAGCTTTTTACGATGAATTACTTCCGAAATAATATTTCTCATCACAAAGTTCTGCATTGTGAAGCATAGTGTAGAACTAGTGAATAATATTCTCATTTTTTGGAAAATCTAAATCTAGCCGTGTGTGTATTTGAAGAAGTGAACACAGAGTATGCATTTCCATAACAAACGTGGACATCCAATTAACTACTATTCAATACAGTTAAGGTTTCCCCTCATTAATTTAAGCCGATTCAAATATTACAAGATAAATTAAATAGAAAATGCATTTATGATGTCTGGGGATTTGGCGAATAAATTTATACTCACTCAAGAGGAAGTGATTAATTGTTTAATGGAGTTCAGTATGATGTCAATAGTTGTTTGTGAAAATGATAATGAGTGAAGTAAAACTGCACATTACTTGCCCGATGCTGTTAGCCGCGTTGTCAGGTTACAGTAATAAGTCTGAGTAGTACAAATAGATAACACCTAACCCTATAGCTCGGATTGTGTGAACCCATTGCTTCGGCAGATGATTTAGGAGTTTGTTAGCGAGGTTTTCATTTCATACCTATGGTTTGCAGGAGGACAATAAACTACTAAGATATCAGATTTAAATATCAGACAATGTGTAATTGAATTTACTTTACGTAAAATGTAGACACAACTATGAATCCAGGGACATAATATACCCAATTCTAGATAATTACACGAAAAACAAAAAAGGATGATGCGTCAGTCGTATATAATAACAATACAACACAATATTTTAACAAATTGTCTAAAGTAAATACACAATGTATATAATAATCCTTAATTTTATAGTTCGACAGTGAGGCTTTTGGAATTTTCTACGTCTTTTCAAAATTATTGATGGTATAAATACCCACTTGCTCCATGGTATTCAAGTTAAGTTTGTTTTTTGTCAAGACTTGCTGTCAGGTAAAAGTCTTTCCTGAAACTATGTTATTAATCAATAGTAGTTATTAGCTTTGAGAGTTCATCGTGTTGATAATGTATTGACAGTTTCTATGGTTTCTGGGTAATTAATTTTATTTAAATTACTCAAATATTTAATTGTCTATTAGATACAACATAATAACACTCAGTATTTATAACTCGAGTATATTACGATATTTCAGGCAAGTTTATGCAGTTTTATTTGTTGCCATAGTTTTACTAAAATATCATTATAACTATTAAAATACAGATACGTTGTTGGTGATGTAATTGTGAAAATAACATTATTTAAAACATTAAACGGTTATTCCTTAAAACAAACAGTTATTGCTTGTCAAGTTAATCACAAGACATGAGCAGCTTTTCGTCAAATGCAGACTACACAAGTGCAATACAAATGTGTGAAATGTCAACTAATAATTCAAATTATGCAGGATTTTTAGCCAAAATATAGGTATTGATATGTAAGGATGAGTAAAGATGATTATCGTCACGATCACTCTACTGGCGTCGCCATTCTCCCTGTATCTCATAAAGATCGTTGTCTATGAACACTACGCATGGGTAACCGTGTTCACGTTAACGCGTCTCCCATCGGTAGCTGTTATCGATAGTTCATTGTCTCGAACGGATAACATATGGAACCGGCAATGACAAATTCTTGAGAATGCGCTGCGAATATCCTTCTTAAATGCGTACAACACTGGATTTATAGCCGAGTTCGAGAAACCTAGCCACATTGCAAATTCAACCACTTCGGGCGGAAGGCAAAAACATATAGAGTTTGTCAAAAGGGATACAAAGAACGGTATCCATAGACATAATAGAACGATAACAATTAGTATCATTGTTTTAATGACCTTAATTTCCCCGGGTTTTAATTGGCGCTCATTCCTGGTTATTTCTTCCGATGCACTGTTTTGGTCATTGGCTACACTTGGTCGCACCCGACAACGAAGCTGTTTACGCAATGTTTTAAAGATAAAATAATTGACGTAAATTATAATATTTAGGGGAATAAAGTTTAAGCACATGCCTACAATTACGTACTCAACTGTAACAGAGAAACATAAAGGATATGTTCGTTCACCTCTAAGGCGATACTCTTCATTAAGTCTGGTAAAAGTCGGGAAAACGCCAAATACTAACGACGCGAGCCAGGTTATCGCAAGTGAGAACAAAATTCGACGACGCGTGACTATGGAGTAGTAGTGCAGAGGGTACTTTATGAATATATATTTGTCTAAGCAGAGCATCATTGCGCTGAATATCGACTCGTGTGAGAAGACAATCAATACTGATTCATAGAAGCTGCAGCTTACGTATCCAAATATCCAAGTCTCGCTCCGGCTGTAGTGAATAGCTAATGGTAGACCAAGAACTCCCAACAGCAGATCTGTGACAGACATATTCAATATGTAGAGGTTGGACTGAGAGTTCCTGATCGTGGGGAACACGGCAAACGCCAGAATAACCACGGTGTTGTTGAGGATAACGAAGAAGGTAATAACAGATTGTACTACGCTCCATGCAAATTCCTCTTGGTGAGTATCCATGAAATTGCCATCGCCCGCAGTGGTGGTGTTTTCCATTTTAGTGTGATACTATGCGCTCCTCCCCAGAAGGTCAGTGGCGTTCCGAAAACTCGTTGTTCATCACAGAATGTAACCGGAAACTCCTGAAACGTTGTAGAAACGACAACATAGATAATCAACGAAGCCTGATGCGTCAGTGAAAACGAGGGTAGGGTCTAGTACAATGTCTGCAACTTGAAAATGTCAACTTTTTTCTCCGTTCGGGAAACATTGATAATCCATATGGACCCGGGGGTCCTCACTTAATCTACTGACGACTTACATTGATATATATATATATATATATATATATATATATATATATATATATATATATATATATATATATATATATATATATAATATAAAAGATACAGCAGCTATGAAGTACGAAGTAGGTGATTGGTTCTTGGAAATATTGATTATTGATAAACGTGGGGTTGTTCGCTAATGAAATGGTCCAATTATATGATGTGTGATGTTTAGTCAGCTTATATATTTAATTTATTTATCTTTTAAGTATGTTCAATTCGATGTAAAAATATTGTATGTACACAACTTATTATTAGCAAAAATAAACATTCGTGTGCTTTTGTAGGTAGTTAATACACGATATTATAGAAGAAACTCTTCTCAGATACACACAAAAGAAACATTGGCGCTTCATTGAAGCTCAGGAAAATGAAAGGGTTTGTTGAACGGAATATTTTCTAAACATAGCAATGATGAATCAGTGAACGTTGTTCAAGATATTCAAATGTTAACAATTAGCCTACGCCAATAACCCGAGAGATAACGCGTAGCCTCACGTGAAATGCCCGCGCCTTCAATGCGAAGGGTGCGTGACGTAGAAACTGTCACGAGCACTCTCGGGAATATTCGAAACAGTTGCGTTTTTTTGTCGTTCTACATTCATGGAAGTAATTCTTTATATATATATATGATGAGAATACAAATTCCCCAAACGAATTACTTTCGAGATATGAAATGCAATTCGTCAGAATCGATATTATACACGTAATTATGTGAAACTTGACTCATATTACAGCAGTCATCCACGCTATCATGCGAAAACTGAAAATCCCCCACTCTATGGCCAAACTGCACGTTCACCCAAATAATACTAGACTATGAGGTGTAGGTTGTACTGGATATGCCAAGTGACGGAAATAAAATGTATCAATGTTCTGTCCAATCATCTGTGTTACTGACAACATATGGTGGATATCGTTACCAAGTACGGATGTTATTCAGAATAATGTATTCCCACTGCATAGGACAATGTGTATGTATTCTGACCTACGTATTCATTGAAACTAGTGTTTTTACCAGCAATGTGCGATATGAAAACCTAAGGCGGTTCAATTCGTCGTCATCATGCATGTATTGTCTCACCTTATTAACATAACTTCCACCAACTACACTGCCGGTGTGTGTACACAGGCTATTTTACGGGTTTCTGCTGAAGCTGGTGGTGGTGATTCTACCATGTTGCTCACAATAATTATCTAGTTGCTCCGACAATTAGACACTGCAACACGACGTCGATATGATATATAAGACCACAATCTAGGCAGCACTTCCACATCACGCGGGGAACGGGCACGCACTAAAACGAAGAACGGAACCGAAATGGCTTAAACGGGTGTAATAACTATAAAACGCTGATACGAATAACGTTGTTATACGTTGCATTTGTTCACAAATTATGCAGTAGCGATTAAATTTACAAAAATACCTTGATAAATATATTACATGATAAATATACGAGCAAATGACCAAAATTATATAATAAATGTGAGTGAAGGATCATGCTTATTTAATAAATATGAGCGAAAGACCTCGATTATATTATAAATTTGAGTGAAGAACCATGATTATGTGATAAATATGAGCGAATGATCACGTTTATATTATAAATATCAGCGAAAGACCACGTTTATATTATAAATATGAGCGAAAGACCACGTTTGTATTATAAATATGAGCGAATGACCTCGATTATATTATAAATATGAGCGAATGATCACGTTTATATTATAAATATCAGCGAAAGACCACGTTTGTATTATAAATATGAGCGAATGACCTCGATTATATTATAAATATGAGCGAAGGACCACGTTTATATTATAAATATGAGCGAAGGACCTCGATTATATTATAAATATGAGCGAAGGACCTCGATTATATTATAAATATGAGCGAAGGACCTCGATTATATTATAAATATGAGCGAATGACCTCGATTATATTATAAATTTGACCGAATGACCACGATTATATTATAAATATGAGCGATCGGCCATGATTACGTTGCAAATATGAACGAAGGACAACGACCACTTAATAAATATGAGCGATGGACCATGATTACGTGGCAAACATGAGCGAAGGACCACGATTTTTTAATAAATATGAGCGAGGGACCACGATTATATTATAAATATGAGTGAATGACCATGATTACGTGGCCATATGAGCGAAGGACCTCGATTATATTATAAATATGAGCGATGGACCATGATTACGTGACAAATATAATCTTGGTACTTATATCATGTAATAATAGTCGTACTCTATATTGTGAATTTTAAAGTGTATTAGGCTAATGTGAATATTTTGGACTGGAATGGTCATTGTCACCACATGTGTTCATCCCATACCCAATATACAACAACATCGGATTGCTTTATGTTGAGATGTAAGCAACTAAATGGTTTGCCATACACCGTCGGTCAATTGGTTGTAGCCTGGTTTACCAGACTGACAGCTCCACGGATTCTCTACGCATAACAGTGAGGTGTGGAATGGAATCTTAGTCCGTTAGTGGTCATCTTGTTTATTGGCTAGTAGTTTAGCATACACTATAGGGACGACCATGAGGGCGCTGTTCTTAGTTCGGATTCGATGACGTCATACTGGGATGGATGACGTCACAATGGGGACCATACATAGATTAGCATAAATTATGACGTCGCAATGGAAATTCGTGCATAAATTAGCATAAATGAGCGACCATTGCCGTAAAGGCGGTCATTTGAATGAGGATGACGTCACAATGAGATATTGTGAATCCTCGGGGGCGGAGCTACGTCACAGACGTTCCACGTTGCTAAGACGCGCACCACTGTACCATGCATTTCTATGGGCTCTGTGCGCGCTGCTGTGGAATGCCGGTCGAGCCGGTGAAAATTCGAGAAAACAACACACACTCAACTTTGAAGTAATCCCTAACAACCAAATTTATATATGTTACACACGTAGGGCTAATCTTGTTACACTGTTCAGGGGAGTCTCAGCAATCATCCCAAAGTACTGTTTTCTGCGAGTTTTGGGCCTTTGTTTTCACCGCCGAGGGTTGCCAGGCGGTGAAAATGCCCGGATGTCCGCCCCCGAGGATACACTTGCATACACGGAATTGATTTGAATACGAGGTCGTCACGAGGTCATCGTGAATTTGCATAAATTACTATAAATTTTTTTTTAATTATTTTTTTTAAATTATGTTTTAATTGGATTTTTTAAATTATTTTTAATTGGACGAGCATGGACGACACGAAAGATTTTTCTGAATGTATCGTAGAGGGCGCGTACACACACGCACACACACTAATAAATACACGGCATTTTGAAAACCATCAGAGTTTATTGCACAAAAGAAGTAAACACGAATGAAATATTGACATGGTGTATACATTTATGACGTGATTGAGTATTTTTTTTTTAACACCACGAAAACATTAGTCAGGTTGCCAGCCCCAGTTTTTTGGGAAAAGCGTAAAAGTGCGTATGACTTAGGTTTTTTGGCTGAAATGTGTTCTCCAGTATGTCTACTTCAAGATTCTGATGGGTGCCCAGTTTGCACCCTTGAGCATTTTTTCTAATTTGCATAAATCCAAAATGGCTGCCAATGACGATCAAGCAAGCTATTATGATGATATCTCCGCATCAAGATGGAAATTTCAACTGCTGTATAATATGCAAATTGTGTATTGAGTCCCCCAAAATAAATGTTAATCCCCATGTTTGCTAAATTCATCATTTGCATAAATACCTCATTTGCATAAATCCAAAATGGACGCCAATGACGATCACGCATGCTATTATGATGATATCTCTGCATCAAGATGGAAATTTTAACTGCTGTATAATATTCAAATTGAGTATTGAGGCCCTCAAAATAAATATTAACACGCATGTTTGTTAAATTTATCATTTGCATAAATACCTCATTTG